TAAACCCTAAACCCTTAGTTAAGGGGATATTGGAATTTCCGTGGCTCCTGGCAGTGCGAAGGCATCGTCCGCCGCAATCTCTCGACGAGGCCATTCGACACATCACCCGGAGGCTGGCACGGGCCAGGTTCGTTTTTTTTTTTTTTGCGGGGGGGGNNGTCTGGGTTTTGAGGGCTTGGAGGGGGTTTGGGGTTTGGCTTATCTTTCCAGGTTTTGGGGTTCGGGGCTTCGGGGGTTGGGTTTTGTTTTCGTTTTCTCGGGAGATTTCAGGAGATCAAACAGAACAAACTCCAGGTATTCGCAAACCTCGCATGGCACGAGCAAGCAAACTAAGATGTTGAAGCTCTTTGTCTCTTGTACATACATAGTGAATGTGCATAAAGCACTTTCTCACACTTATAAGTACTTGTACTGCCATCAGTATATAACATACACAGCATTTGTCATGCATCCGATGTAACTTAGAATGCAGAACTGCGAATGACAATTGCAGTGGGATCTTCGGCACACTTCTCAGAGAGTCCAAAACCCCTTAATTAAGGAAGATACCTTAAGATTATAAGAGGATCCCTACGATGATTTAAGGTATATTCCTGAATTAAGGGGTTTTGGAGTCTCTGGGTTCTGCGCGAAGACCCAAGCTCCTAGAGCTCGCAGAGAACTTAGAACCCCAATTCCACGACTCGACCCTAAAACCCCCAAACCTCTCCCTGAAGCCTTGCAACACTACTGTAGGGGCCTTCATAATCAGACTAGGGTTTTGGGGGGGGTGCTTATGACACTACATTAAACCCCTAAACCCTAAACCCTTAAACCCCTAAACCCTAAACCCTAAACCCTTAAACCCCTAAACCCTAAACTCCTAAACCCTTAACATGCTAAAGCTGTGTAAAGTTCCCCCCGAAGTTCTTCCAACTCACGGGCCAGGACGGCCGGCTCCAGCCGTAGTCCGTGCTCTGCGGCCACGGCGGCCGCAGCCGCTGCCAATGGGGCGGAGCGTAAGGCCTTCTGCTTAGTTTCAGGATCTTGAGACTCCCCAAACCCTAAACCCTAATCTTTCTGGAGTTTTACTTAAAGGATCATGGGACTTAGTAACTAAGGATATTATTGGGGTAACTATACTTATAACTACTTAGAACCCCAGTTAAGGCACTTATAACCATACTTACTAAGTCCCATGATCCTCCAACTAGGCTCTTGAGGCTCCACTTTCTGGCTTCGGGGGTTTAGGCTATCGGATCGAACCCTCTTAAGCGTGAGGTTGCAGGTGCCTTTGTTTTCGTCTGTTGCTGCGACAGATATCTCAGCTGGATTTCGTCATTCTTGAACTTTGGGGCCCTGTTTGGACCGCCCGCAAAGCTGTTCACACAGAACTCTTCTTTGCCCTTCGATGTTGGATTATGGATGTGGCGACCTTGGGTGCAAGAACTTTCGTGTACGCTGTGCCAAAGCAAATCCCTTCCAGAAGCGCTGTTAAGCGGTCGTTTCAACGTGCTTGTCTTGGGGTTATCAGCAATTAAATACCACCCTAAACCCTAAACCCCAAATCCTATTATGTAACAAGAGACTAGGTCTTCGGATCAGTTCAGTCGTGTTCATGTAGCCATACATGATGCGGAAAAGTAAAGGGGTTTAGGGTTTAGGGTTTAGGGTTTGGGGTTTGTCAACTAATAAACACAAGACTGGTGCATAGAAAACACTTCGACTCCATTCAAAAATACGTGCATGTACGTAGGGGATGTACAAGTCCTGGTTTTAGGCCGGCGCTGAAGGGAACAGCGTTCCTACACATGCATGGGCTCTGGGATTGCGACAAAAAATAGTCTTCTTATGCTGCTATACTGTAATGTATGTAGTTGTAAGTAATGTATGTACTGTATGTAATGTGATGGAATGTAATGTTATGTAATGTGATAGAACCCGATGCAATGCAATGCGTTGCACGGATGCACGTGTGCATTTATGCAAGTATGTACATGTGCTTAAATTACACAAACGCATACGGCTACACTCAGCCTTTGTTTCCTATACTAGGTCCTATACAAGCTTCTAGAACCATGGGCGGAGAAGGATCCACACAACTGTACTTACAAAAAGGCAAAACCAGCTGATGTGGCTATACGCACATATGTATATACTTAGGGTATGCACGGCAAGGAGGCCTCCAGCTCTGTTACCTATTATGCCAGGCAGGACTCAGCAACTATGCCTGATTAGAACTTAGTTGCTGGGTTCACAAGTCCAGAAAAGTGTACACTTTCAGTTTTATAGTAGGCAATATTATCCCAAAAAGTGTAAAGTGTATCCACTCAGCTACTGAGAGAAGATGAGGAGGCAGTGGGGTAGTTTCGGAAGACTCGGGGGCCCGAATATAGATTGCAAGTGGTAGGGTTCATCTGTCTGGTGCTTAGTAGGGAATGGGGGAATGGATCCCTATGATAGTCCCTTAATCTCCCTTATAGTAGTCCCTATAGCCCATTCCCCCATTCCCTCCTAAGCACCAGACAGTCATCTCATCATATTATTAGGGTAGACTTATAGCTACCTATAACCCCAATTAAGGCACTTATAACCATACTTACTAAGTCCCATGATCCTCCAAGTAGGGTTCATCTCATCAGGGCCTCAACGTGAGGCATCCCAAGAGTCAGAGACCCCAAGAAGCCGTTGCCCCCCACACGCCTCGTCCAGAGTGGCCCTCTTCGAAGCATCCTCGAAACGAGGGGCATGCGAACAGGGGACATTCTGGGTTTCAAAGTTTCGTAGGTATACTAGCTGTAGTTGTAGTAGTAGTAGTAGTAGTAGTAGTAGTAGCAGTAGTAGTAGTAGTAGTAGTAGTAGTAGTAGCAAGCACCCCGGCTCAGCTGTGTCCC